TCGCTCGCCTCAGCGCGCCAGTGTGCTTGCCCGCTGTTTCCAGCAGCGGTTCACTGTCTATCATGCCGCTCTGCCCGGGGCCGCAGGTCAGACACTAGGGGGGCGGAGCAGGGGGTCAGCACACGGGGGCCTCCACCCACATCAAGATGCACACTGGTCCAGTCGCCCCAGGCAATGGTTCAGCCTCAAGGAGGTTCCATCAGGACCTGAGGCTCCAGACGCCAGAAAGCCCAGGTCAGGCCGGGCTGAGATGCCCTGGATCAGGGACCAGCAGGCCGGGCGGCTCACCGTGCCGTGGCACTGCCGGAGACCTTGAGGCATGCTGCGGAGGCCATGAAGTTGACCTGTGTGTTGTACGTGGCCTGCACGCTGCGCCGGATCGCCAGCATCTCCTTGATGGTGTCCCTCGTTCCTGCGGACCTCGAAGTCCTTCCACGTCTGCAGAACGCGCCGGTCGTCGTGTGGGGGGGGGGCAGGCAGGGCAGGGGTGGGTGTGTGTGCCCGTGAGGGGCTGACTCTGCCACACCCCAACCCTGATGCCCATCCTCCCTCAGCCCCCAGGCCTACCCGGGGTCACAGACTGGGAGCAGAAGCTGTAGATGGCCCGGGCGCGTCGATCTCCCCGAGCTTGCACTCCATATCTGCAAACCGGCAGCACATCTCACGCGCGTGCTCGTCCGACAGCACCTGGGACACAGGGTTGGGATGCAGGAGCGCGACCAGCCCTCGCGTGCCCAGAGCAAGATCCTGTTCGTGAGGTGAGGGTGGATCCTGGGATGGGACAGGACTGGGACAGGTCCCGAGGGGGCCCAGGGTGGGGAACTGAGGCAGCTTGGCCTGTCCCCAGGAGTGACGCCTCTCGGGAGGAGCTGGCGGAGCTGGCACAGCAGGTCAACCCCGAGGAGATCCAGCTGGGCGAGGACGAGGACGAGGACGAGATGGACCTGGAGCCCAACGGTGAGGCCTGGCGGGGATGGGGATGGGGGCAGGGCCAGGGCAGGCCTCTGGGGACAGGCCACCGCCAGGAGGGTGACTGGCTCCCACCTTCCCCACAGAGGTTCGGCTGGAGCAGCAGAGCGTGCCAGCCGCCGTGTTCGGCAGCCTGAAGGAAGACTGACCCGTCCCTCCCTCCCGGAGTTCTACTTCCGTGTGCACCCGTGACTTGTGGGGAGGGTGTTGGTGCCAGTGTGTGCGGGCTGTTCCTGCCTCGCTGTGTACGTTTGTGAGCACGGTCGCCTTTCTGACCCTTGGTGATGGGGGCTGTCCAGGCGGGCAGGGTCTCAGCCTGGCCTCTGCCTGCCCTTGCAG